CGGGGAGAGCAACGCGGGCCCCCGGCCGGGCGGGGGGCAGCCGCGCTCCTAGCCCGCTCTCTTTCTCGGCCGCCACCCCGGCGCACCAGGCCCGGCGGTCCTGGCCAGCCGCCTCCATGTGCGTTTTAACCTCCCACCGTAGTTGCCGCCCGTTTCTTTTAGCAGCGTCGCCCGCCCTTGCACCTCCCCGGCACACAGAAGAGCCGCGGACCTTGCTCGCTGGCCTCCTGGTACCTGGCTGTGGCTCCGTGCTGGATGCAAGCGTGTCTAGAGCGCTCATGAGCTGTGGACATTAAAAGGATTTCAAGGACATTTCCCCCCATTCATCCCAGTTATGTCCCCTGCTAAAATAGGTTAACGGTGTCTAATTAACCACTTCACATTGTCATGCTGCATAAAGATAGCATCCTGGCTGTTCTCTGAGCCCTGCTACTTTATCTCCATTTAGATCTCCGTGGTAGTCCATTAAATGAGAAAGAAACAGTTTAACAGAGATGATGTCTACATTAGAACTGCCTCTCACCCTTCAGCACAGAAGTTGCAGGCAGCTCCGAGGCAGCTCAGCTGTCCATTAGGGGTGTGTGTATGGGGGAAGCCTCAGTTTTGAGGTTTGACCCCCTCTCATTTATGTGGAGGAAGGATTCGTGCTGGCTAGAACTGAGCTAAGACAGCACTGAAGAGCAAGATCAGATCCGTACCCTCTGTCCCAGGACACAGCTAGGAGAGAAATAGGCATTCTGTACTGGGAGTTACCTAACAGGGGGTTACATGAGGTCTGTCAGGGTTTTCTGCCCAGTTTCTCAGCTATTCAGCACCCTGAAGTAGAGAGGGGGTCAGCAGTTGGCCAAAGCCAGAGGGAATATTCTGAGATTTTGGTTATGTTTGGGAGCACAGCCAGCCTTCCATGAATGAGAATTTAAATGGAGCTGTGCAGGTGATGGGGTCGGTCCATGTTCTTTGACCCTCCAGATGCAATGAGCTCATCAGAAGAAATGGAAGAACCAGAGGTATTGCTGTCTCACAAAACCTGGGGGTGGCTGGTGTATAATACAGCAGACTGAATGCATTTCTGCACACTGCTTCCAGAATTGTATTGTTTTGTTTGCCCTTACTTGAGTGGGTGTATCTGTAGTTCATACACAGTTGGTCATTTTGTAGGCGCTTGTTGCTGCCTTCCCTGGGCTGTGCCTCCAGCTGGAGCAAACAGACCAAGGCAGTGCACTTCTTGTTGCTGAGTACGTAAGGAAAGAGTAGGGAATCTGTCTGTGCTGGCTTGAGTTTACAGTCTGGTTTCTTCCATGTCTGCTTTCACTCACCACTAGAAAGCTTGTGCCTGTGTGGTGAATGAAGAGGATGCTGTGTACCCAGGCCTGATATTCCTGAGGGATGAAGTGTTGGTCTTAACATGTTGCAATTGGCATTGATAAGCTGAACCAGTTCTCATGAAGGGATACTCCACAGTGCTTAAAGCAGTGTGATGACTTCATGAAGAATGCCTGTGGGCCTTCCCATAGCACCTGGAAAACAGAGACAAGCAGGCGACTGGTTCTGCAGAAATAGTATCTCCATGTATAGCTTAGCCCTCAGCTGAGCTTATGGAATGGAGCTGGCTGGACGTAGGGCACCTTTTGAGGATCTGTTAATGACTCGAAGGTTTTTAACCTTAGAATGCAAGGAAGAACTTGACTTTTCTTTCAGGGTATCTTTGTTAGGTTGATTTAGGTAATGCAATTGGGCCAAAAAAGCAGAAGATTAGTCAGGAACAAACCAAAAATATTTTGTGAATTCTTTTCTCCAATTTGAAACAAGGAATGAAAAGGTAATATGGCATCTCAAACAAAATGAAATGAAACCTTATAAAAAGGGAAACAGTAGACTGGTTGGTATCTTCTTTACTTAATAGCTCAGTCATTAAGGTCCCAGAGAGTGTAGAACATGCATTTCCTTCCTGTGCTTCAGAAGTTTCATACTATATTTCCAGGATAGTTCTCTACCTGTGAGCTTATCAACTGGTTTGAAGTGCCAGTTTCATCAAATAATGCTATTCCAAATCATATATTAACAAATGTATCTAGTACAAGTTACTGGAAGCAGGTGTCTCACCTAACAGAGCAACAGTCATTTCTAGCTCCTGCTCTAGTGCTGTTGGTATTTAAATGCTCTGTATAAACTCCAGGACTATCAGCGTGAAAGACTGGCATCACCAACTGCCACCTTCGGACCCTGTAATATAGGGACTAGGGTGTTCTCCTGGGGGGCTGACTGTGGGGCTTTAGCTTGCGCTAGGGAGAAGAGGGAACTGTCTTGTTTGACAGGAGAGTGTTCCAACACCTGGGCTCTGGCCTTAAAGGGATCAGTACTATTCTCCCCTCCTGTTTTATGAATTTGTTCCCCAAATTACTATTTTTTCCAATATAGTGCAGCTATTTCATAATGAAGTATTTGCTTATTGCCCTGAATAAGTCCTCTCCTAACATAACAAGAAAAAATTGAGAAAGCTTTAAGTCTCAGAATATGAGTAAAGTAGTCTCTGCCTCTAGGACTAACATATGACTGCCTTCCCTGTGGGCCACCTGGATATCTGTCATATCAGGGAGCTGAGGAAAAAGAAACAGAAATTGCTTACAGGGATAGCAGGAGTGACCCTCTCCTGGGAGGTATAAACACGTGGAGTGTTTCACTCCTGCCTGGGGACAGGAGATGGGTAATGATGTAGGGAGTGGGAGTACTGAAGCATATAGTGTTATCTGGGGCTGGACAATTATCAAGAGTAACGGGGTCATGCTAAGAAGAGGTTAGATTGAACCTCCAGGAAATCATCTCACTGTTCAAGGCTGTGCGAAGCCATCGTTTGGGATGTTTCAGCTCAGTGAGGGCAAGGATCTGAAGACAGGGTGTGGGAAGCAGTTCTGTGAAGGCAGAAGGGAGGGATAAAATAGGATAGATCTTGCATCACCTTTCCATCTCTGTCTTCTCAGTTTCTAAACTCCAGTGAGAGCTGGTGGTGGGCTCTCTGAAGCCATCCCTTTCTTTCTGCATAGTATCAAGCAGTTCAAAATAGTGCTTTGCACTGCTATTGGGGAGGAGGATGGAGCTGGACAATTACTCCTCACTGGAACAGCTCTTTCCTAAATTCTCCAGCTCCATTGCACTTCTGCCTCTTCTGATGAACAGAAGAGTGCAGGTACAGCTGAAAGCCCGTATGCAGATGTCACCTAAACAGTTGCAGTTCTGATTATAGCAGTGGATAATACTGGGCTCAGATCACTGATTTGATGTAATATTTAGCTTCTTACAGGCTGCAAGCTCCAGGAAGAGCAGTGGAGACAAGGGGCTTCTCCTCATAGCTAGACATTCTCTGTGCCCTGCTCCTTGCTCTTAGAACATTAGATTATTCACAGGAGGGTTAGATGAGGACCATAACCTGGTAGAAAGAGCAGATGAGGAGAGGCCTGTCCCATCTCATGGAAGTGCTTTGAAAGGAGCAGTGCAAGGCAATAAAGTAACTTCTCTTACATCTTAGTGTGTCCTGGGACAGCGCATGTGATAGGGGAGAGCCCTGTGCATTCTTTGTCATGGCACCCTGACTTCAAGGAAGGGGAGAATATTTATTCCCAGTGCATAGAGATGAAACTTCACTCTGCAAAATGGCCAAAGCAATCAGCGAGTGATGGAGTATCTGCTAAAAAGAAACCTGGCATTTAATTAACTTTTCAAAGTGCTGGTTCAGCAACCTCCATGTTTTACATTTTGAATATTGAACAAGCGTCCCTAATCGGGACTGAATTACTTCTGGGCTTGCTGGGGTGGAGAGCAAGGGAGCTGCCATTTGCCAGTGCCTCCCCCACACGTTATTATTATGAACTCCTGTTAACTCAGCCAGATCAACCCTGATTTACTGCAGCAACAGCACGTCTGACCTGAACTTGGCCAGCTCAGGTGGGGCTCCTAACCTACAAAGGCAACCAGATAATCTTTATGCATGACCAGGGGGAGGAAGGACCCGTTGATCTCTCAGGGGTAGGTAGGCAAAGTATAGCATCTTCTTCACTTCTTACTGTGCCGACCTTTCTACTCAGGTAAGGCAAGCTTTACCTGCAGCTGATGGCAGAGAGGATGAAAAAGTATCTCAGACGCTAAAAAACAGGGAATATATTTCTTGCTGTATCTGGGCATGGCTGCCTTTTTGGACCCAAGTGGTTCTGCTTCAATCTGATGCACTCAGGGACTTTTTGATACACTGGTTTAATGGTCTCTCAGAACTTTTTAGGGGTGCGATGTGTTATACTGGACCTGGTGTAGGAGCTGTTCTGCATAGTAGTGATACAGGGAAAGGTGCAATTTTTTAATTTTCTCTAGTCTTTTCTAAGACTTTCCTTGTCTTGCAGGTCAGGAAGAAAGCATGCAGAAGAAGTAGAAGAGTAAGTTCCCATTGTTGCTGAGACTTCTTCCACAACTTTTATATCTGATCTTATGGAAAAGGGACACGCAACTCTAAGCACCAGTACACTAAGATCTGGAACTTGGGAAGGGTGCAGAGCCTGGCATGAATTCATGTTGTGTCCTGGGATGGGGCAGGGCTGGTCACTCTATAGCTCCCTGGAGTAGGTGATGGCTCTGTCACTCCCATATGACAGAAAGAAGGAAAAGTAGAAAGCATTCGCTTTCCTCCCAGACCCACCCCTGACCCTAGTGTCTGCAGCCTAAGGGTTTGTCTCAGGTACAAGGCCTTTTGCATAAGCACTCTAAGCTGAGATTTCTGCTGATTTCAGCAATGAGGGGTATGGAAGAAGGTCAGTCTGCAGGCTAAGTATATCTAGGAAGTCTCGCCTTGACAGGCCATCAGGCTTGTGGGGAGGAAAGGGACACACTAAGATGCTTTTCTGGCCTTGCAATTGAAATTACTTCTTTCTTGTGTTTTGCTGCAGCCATCGTCTCAGACAGCAGAGCCTGGAGGCATCAGATGATGGAGGAGGTAAGGTATCACCTACTTGGCTGCAAGAAGTGCCTTCATGCTTTGTCTGGGGGTTCTTCAGTAAAGTGAGCAGAGGCACCCTCTAAGAAATTGCAAGGAGGTGAACCACCCTAGGAGTAAATAAATGCAGGAGTTGATTACATCTCCCCAGCTGCTGAATGAGGGAGAGAGAGCAAAGGAGATGGAGAGGAGGATGAGGAAGTGAACCTGTAGTCTAACTCTGGCTCTTCATTAACACAGAATGATAAAGCACCCTTGGGAGGAAGGAAAGTGTCAAGGACACACTTTTCTCTGTGATTACCTCCACATGGAGAATAGTGGACAGGGGCAAAAAGACAGCTAAAAGAGCAATAAAATATTAAGAGCAGGGAAAGAAATCGTTGCTGTCTCCTAGTTCAGGTGATAGTATGCTCTGCTTAAAGCTTCTCATGTTTTATGGTAACATGAGACACAGGGCACCACTCCCCTGGGGTCACTGTCATGAGGGAATTCTTAATTCAAAAAATAAGCTTGCTCTAACCCAAGATCATAGATCATAAACTAAAAACAGGCACTGGTGGGTAATCCCATCCCATCCCATCCCATCCCATCCCATCCCATCCCATCCCATCCCATCCCATCCCATCCCATCCCATCCCTGTACAGACTGCTGTGAAATCTTTTGGACTCCTGACTTAGCACTAGTTTTCTTTATAGTGTATATCACCTGCTCTTCTAGGACTGGATGGACTAAGAGAGATCTCAGGAAAAATCCACAGTATGAATTTTGAGACAAACACTAGAGAACTGTGGGGAGCATAGAAATTCATTAAAGTCTGTAGGAGCTATGTCAGTTTTCAAGGGCTAAGAATTTATACAGTGTATAAAAAGTTGCATCTGTAAAATATCACCAAGCATCAGAAGAATTACCAGGAGTCACAAAGGATCAGACATCAGTATGGTTAATGAGATTAAATGAAGACTTATTTGGGTCTTCCAGACAGATTAAGCATTGCAACACATGACTGCCAGAAGTGGCACCTTTATAGCACTGGCATCTTCAGAATAGACTTAATTTTCCCCCTGGGAAGTTTCTTAGGCTTCTTAAATTTCAGCATATGTCACTGAGGCTGATAGTCTGTTCTGAACAGCTCTTTGACTGTTTGCGTATGTGCTGTCCTTCTTGTTGAACCTTGGTCTTGTATTTGGAGTATTATAACTGTCTTTGCTAACCAGGCATAAAAATGCTTGCTGCATGTTTGCAGAATGTGACTTTTAGTGCTCCAAGACCTTGGGTAATAAATGCAAAATAGAGTTGATGCAGAATGTGGTATGAAGACATGGAAAGTCCTAATACACTTCACTCATTTATCTGTGCTTAACCTGTGGTTAACAGTTGAATTTGGATTGTTTGCAAACCAGAGTTCCGTTTTAGATTCAATCTATGGGTTAGGAGAAAGATCCCACTCATCTGATCATGGTTCCTACCCAGGCAGTTTCTGATACAGTCAAATACACTGGGTTGTGGATCTAATGTGTATACGGAAAATCTCTAATGCTTGTGGTCCTATTTCAACGGGGAGATTAAGCAAGCTGTTCTGGGAGAGGAGTTTTCCATGTGGGCTCAGCAATCGCAGTGAAGAAAAGTGACATATAAGCAAACTCCAAAACCTGAATAAAATTACTTTTTTGAATAAGCAGAGAGATACAAATAACTGCCCAGTATAGAAGACAGGGAGTAGCATGCTGTGGCTGTGCAGTAAGTTGAGCCATGTCAGCCTCCCCTTTGCACAGAACTGCACCTGGGCTTGTGTCCTTAACTGTAGCAGTAAAACTCAGATTCTAAACATACAAAAATCAAGACATTCGTGTATGGATTCCCAAGGATGGGTCACGGTTATTTTGTGCTGCATAATGTGTTAGCTTGTACACCTTAATATGAACAGGCGCAGTTGCATAATGATTGCTGCTGTCAACCAATACATTTGGATCGCCTTTCTTTAACCTATTAGAAAGCTGAGCTGTACCATTCCATTAACATTGTTTGTCTGCCATCCAACCTTTTCATTAGAACAATGAAGGACAAAACTGTATGCCCTTAAAAAGATATACTTGTTATTTGAAATGTGCTCAGTTGTGCTCATTTATACATCATTAACACCCAGAGGCTCAGAATTTGGGGTCCATTGGAGAAAGTGTTAGGAGAGAGCCCAGTTTAGGACGTGGAGAATGGAGGGAAGGTTGTACAGCCAAATAGAGACTTTTGGCCTTGATATGCCTTGTAGTTTCAGAAATAAAAGTAGAATTCTCTCAGTGCTCTTGGCCACCCTGTGCATGCCATAGCATCTGATTCCTCATCTCCATGGGAGTTTGGGAAAGGACAGTCACTTCTCAGGTGGCGTGGAAAAACTGAAGTAGTATGGAAGATTGTAAGTGGGTGGACCACCACATGCATGATGCTATCTGCAGTTTCAGCCATTCCTTACAGTTGCACAGGGAAACCCAAAAGGTGCAAATCATCCATACTGTGCAAGACAAACTGTTGAAATACTAGCAGTGAGGTACCTTGGCTCAGGTCATGCTCAGAATCCATTTTCTCTAATCCATATTTCTTCTTCATAGAGGCCAGTCCAGGATGAGAGTGCCACTTTAAAGAGGACCCAGTTTTGAGTTACAGGGAAGCAGCAAAGACTTGTGATTGACTAAAAGCACCATTTGCTCCTGTGAAACTCCAGGCTGGAAAGACTGTTTTCAAAAAGTTCAGTGTCTCTCCAGAAATAGCTCTGGAGTGTTTAGTTGATGAATACTGGGGTTTCCTACAGCACCCACTGTGAGTTTAGTTGCCCATCCTCGTGCTACCCATAGTAAACGGATAACACACCTTTGCTAGATGGGTGTGTGTCCAGCTGAAACTTGTTATGGTGGGGTGAGGGCCTCTGCATGGTGGGAAACCTGCTTTAGCAGGATTTAATGCATCAGAACTTGAGGAATAATAAACCTTCACAAGCAACACAAAATCACTTAATTCCTAAAGGACAGGCCTAGTTGAGTCACTTTTGGCCAGGGGCAATTGGGGGCTTAATGCTGTGTATGTAGCAATCTGGGCAATCTGAGAGAGGAGTTTAAGGGTAATTGCTCAATTTTCTGTCCGTGTCAACAGGGGAAATGGGCAGCAGTGACTGAGCTCTGTATGGCAGGAAAACTGCATGAGATGTGAGACTATCAGTGGAATTTAAAAAGTGCTATCTGTAGAGCACTGCTTCCTTTTCTGTAGGAGCCAAGAGCTTCTTCCAGGTGCAGATTATTCTTTGTCATGAGGTGGGAGGGAAGATGGAACAACCCAGTTCACATTGAAGGGCTTTCCCCTCCCTTTGCTCCTTTCTCTGGTAGGGCAGTAGAGTCTCTGCTTTGACTTTGCTTGGGTATTTCATTTGGCTTAGTCTGTTTGTGTGTCTCTTTCTGGCATGTAAAGGGCTGTTAACTGTCCGGGTGAGAAGTGCTGTCATTCCCTCCTCCTCCATCAGTAAACTGCTTTGTCCTTTTGGCTAAAAGTTTCTTTGTTGTTCCTTTCTTGTCCAACAGTTCTGCACTGCTGAGTTGCACTCCCCCAGATGCCTGTCTCCTCACTACATTGCCCTTTCTATTTTTCTCCTCACCACTCTACAGGGGCTTATTAGCTAAGGTTGTCATCTCTCCCAGCTATCCTTTCCCCATAGACTGTTGCCCCATCTTCAGAAGTCACTTCCCCCCTTCTCTCTGTTACCCTTGGGATGCATAGCTCCTAGAACAGGGCTTTTCTGGGAGGACTGCAGTGTGATGTATGATTCTCTGTCTGCAGGAACAACGCCTTGTTATTTTAAAGCAGATAGTGTGTGTGAATGAGACAGCTGATTGAAATGAAAGCCTGACTGTGCTACACAGACAACCCAAACCTGACCTGCAGGTGAGGAAAGCTGCCAGGAGACAGTCACTAGATCTGTGCCCTCAAGGCAAAACCCCTTCCTGCCTGCTGGGAAGCTGCCTCAAGGAAGCAGAGCTGAGGATTAGACCTCTCTATGCAATGTCAAACCTCTAGAAGGACTTCTTACCCTTCTGGCGGGTGCCAGCAGCTCCTTTGCATTTGAACAGAATTGGAGTCTAGGGTCTGTGCACAGCAGAGGAGGTGGGCATATGCCATGGTCTCCACATTCTTCTGGGGAGTGATGTCTGTCTGTCAGGTGGGAGACAGTCCTTACAGGGTATCTGGCACCTGGAATTAACAGCCATAAAATATCAAACACCTCTTGAGCTGCATGCAAATATGCACCAGTGATGAAATTGCTCCAAACAGAGCTGAAAATAGAGCTCAATGTGGGTTATTGTTGACTCTATAATTTCTGATAAAGTTTGCCAGTTGCTTCCCTGGTGAGCTGCTGTTTTTCAGAACACACCAAGTGCTAGTGGATTCCAGGGGCTGTGAGCTGCAAGGACAGTTGCATTGGTTGAGCATGAGGGTAAGGGGGGGGGTGGGGGGGATGTGCAGAAACAGCCAGGGAGATGGCCAGTGAATACTTGACAGGCTCAGGAGGCAGTGGTGGAATGGACTGGGGAGAGCTAAATGGACGAAGAGTTCTGAGCATTAGTGAAAAGGAGACAGAGTGAAAAACATACTGTTTTGGAAGTGTTGTGCAGGGGCTGAAGAGAGGGGCCTGGGGCAGAGAGTGACAGTGACTGCTTCTGAGTTTCTGGGATTCTGCACTGTGGCTCTGTGTGTGGGCTCTGTCAGCACACCACAGTCCTTCCCTTGTCTGCTCCCCTAACACACTGCCCTGAGTCTCTGCGCAAGGTCAGTGAAGGGCAGACTCTGCCTAACCTGATGGTTTCCACTGCAGTATTGGTCCAGGCCAGGATGAACTCCAGTGACTGCTGACGTTGTGATCTAGAGCCTTTGGTGTTCAAGGAAAGCTCCCTCCTGACAGCCACAGTGGGTAGAGGGGAGCAGAGAATACGTCCCAAGGGATATGTCTGAAGGCCTGTTGGAA